TTTGCGACGCGTCGGCAAGAAAAGAGCGGGGCGAAAGGTAGAATAGGGCGAAATGTGATGGAAGGGCGAGTTTTTGTAACGCCGACGCCTCTCGGCGAAGCAAGTGTGGTCCGGGAACCTTGAGAAAGAGAGAGGGAAGTCGAGGAAAGCGAGGTGGCAGTGGAGGCCACAATGATAACCCACGACGCTCGCTTCCACTCTGTGAATCCACAGGTCGCAAGGGGACTGATACCTGCACTGGCAGGCGACATTTCCCAGAGCCGAGGCCACCGGAGCGGGTCCACCGCACATGCCCAAGTGGCTGCCCACGAAAGGGACAAAATAAGAGAAAAAGAAAATGCTGTCGGCGCCCTTGGCCCTTGCCGTGTTTGTGGGCGAACAAAAATGTATGTTGGGAAGACCAAGACCAATTTTAAGTCGAGTGATTGAAGCAGGCGGAAGGGCCAGTCAGGCAGGCCCAGGCCAGGGCCACGAAACTGCTTCCCCACCGAAGGCTCGAAGCCGAGGAAGGCAAAGGGCAGGCCTTGCTGGAGACCTCCATCGTCAGAACGCCACCAAAGTAGGTCCAGGAGGAGTTGGAGGTCAGGCAAGTGGTGGTGTCGCCTGAACAGAACAAAAAGGCGTCGCCCGTGTCGTTGTAGCCGGAGTAGAACCCGATAGTCTTCGTCCCATTGATGCAGAAGCTGAGGTAGTAGGTGGTGTTGGCGCTGAGCTCCACCGTGCTGGGGAACGTGGCCTGCACCGCGGTGTAGTTGGTCGTGCTGTTGTCGGTCGGGAGGCCGGAGAGGGCGACGGAAGCGACGACAGCTTCAGCATCGGAGTTGTAGACGTAGGCATCGGCCGCCTGGGTGCCATTCTGCATCGGCCGCAAGTAGTACGTGAAACTCTCCAGAGAGGTCAACCCCGTAACGGCGTTGGTGATGCAGGTGCTGCCGCCCAGGCCCCAAGGATTAACGTTCGATTCGCCGACGATTGTGATGACGGAGTCGCAATCGCCGCTGGCCGAGACCGGCGTGAGGGCGCCCGTGACGAAGGCCGGAAGGAAGCCAGCAGTGGCCACGAGGAGCCAGAAGAGAGCCAACGAGAGTGGTGTCTGCATAGGGGTGGTGGAGAAGTTGGGCTCGGCAAGGGAGCCTCTTCAAGCTTTTTAAGTTGCGCCGGTGACGATGTCGGCAATAAGACCTTCCTTTCAAATAATGGGCCATGTCCTATCACCTAGCAAGGTTTGTTGGTACCAATGGCAGGGACCCCTGCGCAAGGTAGCAACTGTTGGTACAGTGAGAAGGTGACTATGCAACATGGTTTCCCTACAGGGCAATTGAAAGAAGGTAAAGGCATGTTTTTTCTGTTCCAAATTGACAACAAGATGAAGGAGGCCTTCAACGATCAGTGCGTGATCGCATTTCAGTGCAGCAACAAGATGGCACAAGGACGCCCTTCTGGTCACTCCCAAGAATGTGACCTGCCCTCCCTCGCCCGATGTTGTGTCCGGCGGAACAAGTGTGCATTATATGTGCACTCCATAGGCTTACAACACACGGAATTTCGGGTCACGCACACGCACACAGACAACATACGCTGTTTAGGACAACGACGCCGCTGCTGCTACTTACTGCTCGGCCCGGCCAATGCAAACTTGCTTGTCCTCACTTCACTCCTGTTGTTGGTCGTGTCTGCCACCATCAGATGAACTGGCGCGTTTTGACACTCTTTGAGAAGTGGGTGGAGCCGCTGGAGGCCCTCGCCTGGAAGATCTGATATGACACTGATCGCGTTTGGTACACTCGCTCACCCAACGCCACGCTTTGATTCGAATCAGATTGGTTCGATCCATCCTCCGCTCGCTGACTCACTTTCGCTTGACCTCTCGCGGACGCGTGTGCGGTGGTGCGTGCGTTTGCCTGCGCAGGTATGCGTGGAAGGTGCTGATGGAAAACCAGCCACATGACTCAATCTGCGGCTGCTCGGTCTCCGATGTGTGCATCGCGAGGCACTGTTTTCTATAATTTTCACGATAGTGTTCGCCCGGCGAACAGCTGGTGAGCACCACCTTTGCGCGTGTTTTGATCCAACAGCGAGGACCGCGCCGGTCGCCGGCGCAAGAGAAGTCTGCTGTCGGTGGAAGAGGTCCTCGCTCGTCGCCAGTGGCGCCGCAGTGGAAGCAGAAGATAAAGGGGAGCAAGCAGGCCTCGACGGCGTCAACAGCAAGTGTGGGGTTAACACCGCCAGCGAGTGTCTACACACCATCAACGCCAACAC